GGTATAAACATGTCCCTGCTTGTTAGTTCAAAGGCCCCTCCTCAAACTGCTGGGTACCAGGCAGGTGTTCGCCTGTGGAAAACAAAGGGTGAAGTTCTACATAGCACACGCCCAGAACTCTGCGCACAAGACTCCCTTTCTCACTGGCTAGTTGCTTGGAACATCTCAAAGTTTAAGTACCTCAAAGCACCAACAAGTTTTTTTTTAACGCAATTATCCATTTGCTAAAAAGAGAAATTCTCTTCCAACACTGCTCTAAAAAATGCCACTCTCTTGTAACCTGTTACAGGCAATCCACCAGAACTTCAGATTGTTTTTTTTTCCATTAACCATCAACAGTTATCGCCAGAACTGAGACAGCAAACCTTACTTCCTTTCGGAGGGGAAAATGGAAATTTCATTAACAACTTGAACATAGCCCCGGCTGCAAAAAATTTTCATGAAATTTTTGGTGAATTGTTTTACTGGTCAAAAACAGCAAAAATTCAAGGACAGTTTCTGTTTCATCTTTCACTCGTAATACATTATCCAATCCAACACCACCTTCCTAGAACAAAGCTCACATGTCTATCGATTTTGAAAAACAGATTGCGATTGGCTGGAGTGGTGGATGTAAGACACAACCATCCAATCAGGGCACTGCGTACTGTGATGCATGGGCCAAGGCGCTCATCTCAGCTCATCTCCGATTGGTTCGACTTCTAGTCTGCCTCATAGTCTCTTCCTTTTCACGTTTGTTCACGTCAAACCACGGAAGCTCAAATTCACTGAGAACAGAAGATAACCAGTAGGAAACAATAAACAGTGCAGTGTGCTTAAGGATCTACATTTGCTTCAGGGAAGTCAAAATCACGGTTTAGGTGTCAAAACTTCACTTTTTTTGGCACTGTTTCCAAAAGTGACATTCCTGCAGATGCAGCAGATGATATGTTTTGTGACCTAGTGCGGCTTAAATTATGTTATGCTGGACACAAGCCTACTGAGAACCGGTCATTACACGCAATATATACACACACCATGCTTCAACCGGTATCCTTTGCTCAGCAAATCTCTTTCTCCCACTTGGCAAGTTTCTGTAATAGCTCCGAGCAGTCAATTTTCATGGAACTCATTTTCATCAGAATGTGCACGATCACATGCCCGCAATTTCGCTAAGATTAGAGTGTAATTTACAGAAATTCCAAGACATTTGTCGTTGAGTGCTTACCCGTCTTTAGCGACCGGCACTTGCACCCCAAATGCCACAAGTGGAATGGTATCGGAGACTTGAAGTTGACATGCTGTGGGGGGGGGGGAACCATCAAAAACTGTGAGAAACTTGACGAGAATTCATGTGAATGATAAAAGGGTGGTGCGGGCTCCAACCACCACAAAACTAAACCTGGCAAATTTGAAGTTGAGAATGGCGTACAGTTGAACCTCTTTAATAAGCAGTCCCTTGGACGTATTACCTTGTCACAACAGGAACCTTCTATTATCAGGAGTAAACACAATGAAGAACAAAGGATTGGGACCTAGAAATATCCTTGCTATAAGCAGAAGGTTCATCAACAGTGCTCTTGTTTATTAACAAGATTGGATTATATATCTATCACCATGGGAGTGTGGTCTCTTCAGAAAACGGACAAAAATTGACAGTCAGCCCGGGTTCTTCAAATGCGACAACTCAAATTTATCCTTTACAGTTTCCTACTTATTCTAACGACACAGAGTGCAATGGAAACCAAGGCCTGGTATATATTGGGTACCTTGGACAAACTTGTAGAAGGGAGAAAGATAACCTGGAGGAATGATCATTCGGGACGCTTTTGGAAGGAGGGACAGTGGCTTGTCTCTTAATGATCTCCACTGGAAGACAGCGGATTAACTGCGGTCAAAAAACCTTGTTTCTTGAGGATCAGTCACGATGATGGCGACTCACACTCAACCTCGTTAAAAACTTGGCAGAACTGGCCAAAAAACAAAAATGACCTACCGTCAGAGGGCTCTGGGTAGAAGGTCTTGAGCACGTCGTCCCAGTTTCCGTACTCGCGCCGCAGCATCTTCTGCTCCAGCCGCTCGTGCTCCCTCAGCTCCCGGACGCGCTGGATGTCCCAACGCTTACGCTTCTGCTCCGCCACCTCGTACTTCTGGTGGCGACGCTCGAAGGTGGTTTCTTCCAAGTCCTGGGGAGGGGGGGCGAGATTGAGAGGATGATAGTTTTTACAATTCAGAACAGTGTAGAAGCGGAATGAGGATGCGCTCCGATTTGGGAATGATACAAAATTGAATAAGATGTCATTTAAGAATTACTCGGAGGTTTCGTGAGGTTTACTTCAAGTAAAGCCTCAAGTTAACGCTTGGTTTGCTTTTGCATTCTTCCCTCACTAAATGATGCCAACATGACCACTACACAGTGACTTCAATGTCTCAATTAGCTTTTTACTGATAAAAAACACCTCGTACCCGAAGTTTAAGCTTATCAAACAGAACGTACCTCAACAATTTCCGCACAATTGGAGCTACTTAGAATGTTGATCCTCCAAGACGGAACTGAATATGGAAATGGAAAAAGACACCGTTGACAATGTTTGAAAGGTGCTAGTATTTAGATCCACGCCCCAAATGAAATCTGCGTGTGTCAGGAACTTTATTGATCATGGCAAAGTTTTAAATAACCTTACATGATCCTCCAAGATACTGGGCCGGGTTCTATCAGTATCTGTGTATCGTAGGTTGGGGTTTGCCTGGTAATCCATGATTGAAATACATGTATACCCTAAGTACCGGGCAAGAATTGATATGGATTGCCAAATGGTCTCCGATTGACTTGGGCCCTATGAATGACCACACACCTTGAACTTCTGTCTGCCCTTCTGGGAGGGCGGGGTCTGGATCCATCACCCTCAAGTCGCTCAGGCACGGGTAGATCACCTCTGTCTTCAAGTACTGCTCCCCCTTGACTCCGCCCCTCTCTGGCTCCCCTCCATTCCTCTTGTCCTCCTTGGCCTTTGACCCCTGACTGTCCTTCCTCAAGGTCCGTTCCTCCCGCTTCGGTGGGCGCTCCTCTTTTGTCCGGGAGGCGGACGACAGCAGCCGCGGGTCCCTCGCCCGGACACGCTCTTTGGCTTGGAGCTTGATCTGCCTGCGCCGGGCGCTGGTGGGCGTACCAGCTGGCGACAGGGTGGGGGACTTGGAGGGCGTGGCATCCCTCTCTGTTTGCTGTCGTTTGATGGGGGTGGTGGGCTCAGTGCTACTTTTTCTGTGTCAGGGAAATATTAAAATCATGCAGATTCTCAGGATCCCTAAGTAAAAAGTTTCTTATTTTTTAAAACAGTTACATAAATTAATAACAATACCGAAAATTTCCAAAACTTTTCTAAGGCACAACTCAATAAACCCAAGTTACTTTTACTACCCCAACTGTCAAAGATGAGATATTTATAGAAACATTTATGGTGTACCTTCTCCAAGATTTTTAAGTTTACTTAAAAAAAACTTTTTTGACGGATTCCCTACTCTGTTTTACTCAGGCTTTCCTAGCCGGATCTGGCTCATTTGTCAAAGAAAGAGCACCCATCTCAGATTGAGTCGGTGAACCATGACAATGGAAAAATACTTTCTCTTGCTGCTGCTTGGATCCGGGTTTTCTGTGATATGGCTTTCCTCACAATGTAATTCCGAGGATAAATGAAATTTTTTTCTGAAATCCAAAAATGCGACAATACTTTGCTACATAGGTACTTGTAACAGTTAAAGAAATGAACTTAAGTCCAACATTTATTTACACTTGGTAAGAAAAAGTAATCCCCTAAAACTCGAAATGTACTTAACCCCTTCGCGCCGGGACGCGGAAAAAGCCACCGTAAAAATTGAGATCCTCAGCCTACTTTTCAGCTATTATTCTCGGCCCACGCTCGAGCAAACACAGTGAAAGAAGACATACCCTGGCTCTTGTGTATATGGTAAT